GAATTTGTCGAATGTGAGAAGCTTTAAACTTTTGGATATGAATCTTCAAAATTCAAATGAGACTCCTTGAATGTGGATACAAGTCTTGCAATTTACAAATACGAATCTTGAAATCTTGTGAATCCAATTCTTGTGAAATTAAAATTTTAAGAATCAAATTTTAGTGAATTTTTACGAAGTTAAAAAGTTCTTGTGAATCCGAACCTTTGGCTATTGAACTCAAATTGTGAATCTTTGAGTTTTCATTATAAATTTCATCAGACATGATCTATGACTCGTCTGGTAATGATTGTCGAAGAGCAATTTATTTTTCTAAAGTTTTGTTACCTCTATTTAGATGAGCCATTTATTTTTCCAAAGTTTTGTTGCTTTGTTGCCTCTATTTAAAGGAACCATTTATTTTTTCAAAGTTATGTTACGTCTATTTAGAGCAGGCATTTATTTTTCTAAAGTTGTGTTGCCTCTATTTAGAGGAGCAATTTATTTTTCCACAATTCTGTTACCTATATTCAGATAAGCAATTTATTTTTCCAAAGTTTTGTTGCCTATATTTATAGGAGCCATTTATTTTTTCAAAGTTCTGTTGCCTCTATTTAGAGCAGCCATTTATTTTTCAAAGTTGTGGTTGCCTTTATTTAGAGGAGCAATTTATTTTTTAAAAAAATCTGTTGCCTCTGTTTAGAGGAGCAGTTTATTTTTCTAAAAGTTGTTGAGCCTCTATTTAGAGAAGCTTTGTTTACTTTTTCCAAAAAAAAAAAAAGATGAATGTGTTGGGATAATCATATACAGAGAGTCTATGTCTTTGCACAATTCTTGTTGCACAGAAAATGCGCAAAAAATGGTAGTTGTAAACACCCTAATTGGTTCGAACCTAAGCCCATTGGGCCTAGTTTAATGGGGTGTGGGCCTCAGCCTATTAGGCATAGCTCGATGGGATATAGAAGTCAATCCTAATTGTCCTTTTTTTTTTGTTTTATTTTTGGGCTCATTTTTTTTTGTTTTTTCTTATTTATCTATTTTTTTTAGTTTTTAGGCGAAAAAAAATAATTTTAATTTTTTTTTAAAAGGTTCTGCTGTGGATAGGATTGGTGGCAGAAACATGGTTAAACTGGATTTTTATGAGATAAGCAAAATTTAAGTCAAATGGGGACTTAGAGTTAATTAGGAACTCTCCTAATTAATTCTATAAATACTTATACTAATCAGACAAAACAGAACATAAAAAAAAGAGAAAACAGAAGCAAAAGGTGTTTAGAAAGGCATAAGTAAATTTTAGAAAATTTAGGATTTTTTCTGGAATTTTCAAGCAAATTTTTTTCTCAAAAATTTTGAAATTTCTAGATTCCGGTGAATTTTTCTAACAAAATTTGAATTTTTCGGCATGTTCTTATAGATTTTGGCATGCTTTTCCAGAATTCAACGAAAATTCAATTAGATTCTAGGTTCTGTTAGAAAGAGAGGGAGAGAAAAGAGGGGAAGAGAAAGAGAATGAAGAGAGGTGTCTAAAGGGAAAACAAGATTTTTGCCTTTTATACTCGCACAAGACAACGCCATTTTGGTGTTAAAAATCCCAAATGATATGCACGTTTTGCCATCGGGTGACCCAACCTTAGTGCCAACCCATTTTTGACCCACACTCGACCTGCGTGCCAACTGATCCCTGGAGCCAAGTTGAGCTGAGTCGTGTCTTCCAGCCGACCCCACAAGCCATTTTTTGTTTCTGCAGTAGAGCCGTTCCAAATTCCTAGTCGAGCCGCTTTCAAATTTTTTTATTTATTTTATTTACGTATTTTATTTATGTATTTATTTTTTTTATTTAGTATTTTTTCCTTTTCTATTAAATTAAATAAAAAATAATAAAAATAAATATTTTGAGAATAAATATTAATTATCCAATGATGGAATTTATAAAAATTTCAAATAGTAAGTTCTATAAAATTCTTAGGTGATAAATTTTATCTAAATTTGTCCAAAATGGTGGAATAATTTAGATAAAGTTTCAATAACAATAATTACTATTTATTTTTAAACAAAAAATAAACAAATGAAAAAATATAAAAATAATAAAAATAATAAAAATTTTGAATTAAATACAAATTATCCAAGGATGAGATTCTTAGAAATTTCAAATGGTAAATTTCTAAGAAATCTCTAGGTGAGAAATTTCCTATAAATTTGGCCCAAATTGTGAAATAATTTAGATGAAGTTTCCATAAAAGTAATTGTATTCTTTTCTAAACAAAAACTTTTGGTTGAAAATATGTGATAATTACCCAAGGATGAAATTCATAAAAATTTCAAATGGTATATTCCTAAGAAATCTCTAGGTGAGAAATTTTCTCTAAATTTGGCTCAAATGGTGGAATAATTTAGATGAAATTTTAATAAAAATAATTGTCATATTATTTTCTTTCCAAAGAAAAAAAATTAAGAAGAATTTCTAAATAGGCCCAAATGGTGAAAAAATTTAGAAATTCAAAATAAGAAAATATTTCTAATTTGGCCCAAATAGTGGAATAATTAAATATATTTTCAACAAAAAATAATAATAAAACCTTTTTCCAATGACGAAGCCTCTTTAAGGAAACAAATGGGATCCTTGAATACTCTTGAGGTGATGATGTATTTTTTAAAGAGTTCTACCAGATTGATGGAGAATCTTAAAAATTATTTCCAATATTTAACATAAAATTTGAAACCATTAATCTCAAGATGTTAGGATAAATTTGAAATAATATGGTACCATCCCTTGGATGGGCATGTGGGGGTGCTATAACCTTCCTCATATGTAACTGACTCCCGAATCCTGTTCTAGTTAGTAGACCCGAATCTATTTTTTTAAGGACCTTTAGTCAAGCTTAAGAGTTCCTTAAAAGGATAGATTCCTTAGGTGACCAATCACACTTAGTAAAAAAGATTGGTGGCGACTCCATTCATTTGTTAAGTCTAGCTATAGATTTACAGATCTATATGTTATGACAGTTTGGCGACTCTACTAGGAATACTCTAGAGAGTCAAGCTATAATTTTTGAATTTATCCTATTATTTGGTCTAATGGTTTTAAATTGTAACTATCTGTTTACTAACATTTTTTTTCCTTTTTTGACTTTTATTTGATTTTTTGGGGCATGAAACTTATATATTCCTTCACACACACTTGTCACATGCATTTACGTTACACACACTATGCCTAAGTAAGTGGCACAAGGTTTGGTAGAGGGGGTGTGCAAGCACGAGCTCCCTACCCTTTTTGTTTCTTCTATCTTGTCCGACAGTGGTAAGGCATGATGGCTAGGAGCATAGGGCGTGAATGGTGAACAGGGATGAACAAGGGGTGGCACTGCCATCGGCCTTTTTGTCTTTTCTTTTTGTTTTTAGCTTTTTTGTATTTTTTATATTTTTTAATATTAATGTAAAAAAATAAAAATAAATAAATAAATAAGGAAAAAAAAGTAGGATTTGGGCTTAAAGAATGAAGTTGGGCTTCGAGCCCAATCAGAATTGGGTCATGGGCCCAATTGAATTAAAATCTAGCCTGAAGCCCAAATGAATTGAAATTGGACTTCGACTCGGAAACCTCATATATATGATAAATATTAAATTGAAATTTAATTAAAAATTTAGACAAATTTGATGTCTACAGTGTTTACTAATTAGAGGAACATATTTTATTTGCTAAGGGGTCTTGGCATGATTGGCTTCACTAAAATTTTGCTTGGTATGGGAATGATGGAAAGGTCTATGAATGAAAAAAAAAAATTAATTCACAATTAAGCTATGCAAAATAAGAAAGTGATTATGAAACTTAACATTCGATTTACAAAATCTTTTTTTTATATATTTTTTTATCTTTTTTATCAAATACAGTCTAAGATCAAGTGCACTTGGATTAAGAATTTTGAAATTTAAAAAAATTAAATTAAAACATAATTATTTAATTAAATAATAATATCATGAGTTGAGCCAAATCCAATTGCTTTTGAAAATCCAAAACTCGACTTGAGACGATTGGAACTGCTCGTTCTAAGTCAAGCTGACAAGCCTAAAGCTTGAAAAAGGTCTACCTCATATATTGAAAAAGGTTAATAGTATGATTTTTTTTTTAATAAGTTTATTTTAGAAAGAATACCTTTGTCTAGTACTATTAACTACCCACATATATGCCTACCTGTTACGAAATCAAGAAATTAATTGATGTCTCTTAATAAAAATAAAAATCGCCCCTTAAAGGCTACAACAACCATGCAAAGAAAGAAGAAGAAAATGGAAATTAGAAACATTTGTTGAATATATACTTTTTAAGTGTCCTATTAGTAAAAATGTGATTACCAGGCTTGAGCTCATCCCATCTCCGGACTTCCATCTGGGTACATGCTTTACTATACAGTACTTCAAATTCATAGACGGAGAGAAGGGTTCTTGGAAGCACAAAAAAAAATGAATGACAGAGAATCCAAAGGACCGAATGTTAATGGTGAAAATTGGAGAATCCTGTAATGTAACAGGACCAATGGTGTACTTTATTTAAAAGGTATCGGGATGGACTTTATCAAAGTTTAGTAACAGCACAAGACTTGAAATTCAAGCTGGGGTATTATGTAAAATCGGCCCCATAACAAATTCAGACAAGTATCAATGGAATTAAGCCATTCAAGCCAAGAGTGGAGAATCGAATAACTATGAGGAAAATGTTCTTACGCAAGCCAAAATGCATCGTTGATGAATCATCTGCCTTATTATGGTGACATTGACACACTACAAGTGATGAGTGAAGAGTGAACACTTGCATATATAAGTAACGCAAGCTAATATATCCGAGTTTCTTTTTGCAGTGTTGTAATAATCGAATCGGCCAACCGATTCAATCGGTAATCAATAGTCTTTTCAATCCAATTAGGCTATTTGAACAGGGGGTTAGTCGGACCGAACCATTATTTTTAATATATTAAATAAATCTTTCAGATACTGATAATAAAATATAAACCTGATCGAATGCCATTAAACACATGACAGGAGTTAGTCCAATATACAAAAACCTTTTTCATTTCCAGTAATATAGTACAATCTTACTACAACCAGGCAAAGACGGGCACACTCAAACTCAAACAAGTCTCAGGAAATTATTATTGGGATTTGTAGCAAATTATATATTATAGATTTTCATTTTTCATTTTTTTTAAAGACGAGTTGTAAAGCCTACAGTATTATTCCTGAGATAATCGGCTGGCATCAAGCAGTTGATGACACGAAGAAGACAATGCAATCTATGTTTCCTTAATCCACTGCAAGGAAAACCACAAAGTACTATTAGTACTTGTAAACACTGCACCTCAAGTTCAGGTCAGGCCTCCACCACTGGTATAGACCATGAGCTTGCATGATATCTGGTGGAGGATTTAGATTCACTGTCAGATTTGCAGAAGGAAGCAGATGCAACGGTTCCGAAGTTTCGACACCTTTCATTCCAACCGCACTCATAAATAGATTTGCCAGTGAGTGCTGGCTTGTTAACCTCGCAATAGCTCCGGCCCCAATATTTTCCAGCTTTCTCCTGTGCTCGAAATAACCGATATATTCAGCGCATATGGGGTCTTTCTGATTCACAAATAGGCATGGGATCCATCCAGATATAGCAGCGAATGAATCTTCATATCCATTTCCATTCCTTGAATTGTTATTGTTACCATTTGTAGCAGCAGCAAAAGCAAGTCCAGCCTTGATTACAGTGCCTGCAAATCGAAGTCCATGTCTCACTTTCTTATCTTTGATTATCTCAATTGGGGGAGATACGAATGGCGGGTTAAAGAGGAAAGCTTCCAAGGAATAGCCTGTCTTGGCCATAGTCTTTCCAGCAAGCATTGCCATGGCTGCTCCTAGGGAATGACCAGTTAACCAGACATTTGAACCACGCACAGCAAAAACCACGTCTCGAACAGCTTTTATGGCAATCGCAAAGCGAGTAGTCTGGTGGAGTCCATTTCGGATTACATCGATATCCAAGTCAAGATCTCTTGCAACGGAGTCTCGTTTCATTAAGGTACCTCGGAAGGCAATTACATAGCGAGGGCTCCTATCAATTGTACGATGATATGCATAAGGTGGAGGATTATATTCAAAAATGGCACCGAAGATGGAATTATCATCATCATCAACAAGCTGATGAATCAACTTGAAGTGGAAAAACTCCCACCAAGGAGGAGCAAGACATTGAGAACCTTTACGTCTTGCCTGGCGATCACTTTCCAGCACGTAGACACCCCCAACTAAACAGGCTGCTACAGACCTCCGATGATGTGCATTGTTCCAATCTATATTATTTAGGTGTGAGGGCCCCGAAAAGCTAAAATGTTCACTTCCAGAGTCCATTATAACACCTGAAATTCTTGTTTTTTCTTGTTGATTTCCACGATTATTGCTGAGAGTTTGGTGCAATTAAACCAAATGTGGATGATGATTAATGAAGATTTGAAATAATTTTGATGCGGTTTGTTGGGGAGACATGCACAAGAGCTACTGTCTCTGCCATAGGACACAATTGTTAGTATTTTTTTTATGAAAATGTACAATTAAAATTTACAATCACAGATTCACAGTTAAAAACCGACAACACATAACAAACATAACTATTATATTTAAAAATTAATGAAAAAACCAAATAAACTAATTACACCCTGTATATATAACTAGAAAAAAAGAAAACATAGGAGTTCAATTATTTTTTCTCACTTTTCCACACTAACCAAAACACCAAAAGATAAAATTCAAAAAAAATTTTATTTTATTTTCCTTCAATATTTTATTTATGATAATAAAGTTGTGATTGAATTAATATCAAATTAGTTAATGAATATCAATCCTTAATTACAATCAGAAGTGAAAGTCTATTACTTATGGTGTTTTTCATTTCACATGTTTATTTTTTTAGTTATTTTTTAAAAACAATCAATTATTTATATTTTAAAAGTATAATTTATAAAAGATAAATTCCATCAAATCTCTTGTGGTTTAAACTTTTCTCACATATTATTTATATTTTGAAAGTACAATAGTTATTTTAAATGTATTAATAACATATAATAGATATGTAACACACAAAAATAACAAATATTTATGTATTTTATATATAGTACTAAGGAAGTAGAAGAATAATCAAGGTTCCCCAAGTTTTAGGGTTTTCCTTATAGAATAAACAATAAATAAAACAGATAAACAAAAGCAAGAATGATAGAAAAAGATTGAAATAAATGACAGCAGTTGCGTGAACTATATATTAATAGAATGCTAGAATCTTAATTTTAATGAGTAAGATTTAAATCTTTATAATCTTAAATAAAAAAAAATGAGAAAAAGAGAGAATACCAAGATAGGATTAGTGGAGAAATAAACTTGTTATAAGTAAAATCGTGATCACCCGATGAACGCATCCCTCCTTACAATTCTCATCCTAATTTCTTCTTTTGAACTTTGGAGTTCAGTTTGTCTGCTTTCTTTGTAATAAACACAACCAATTTATAGATGGGAGAAAGATGTCTGGGAACCAAATAATAAAGAACGGTAAGAACGAATAAGAATATTAAAGAAAAATAAAATAAAATTGGATATACCAAATTCTCATCTATACATTTTTTGAACATACAAAAAAAAAATGTTCTATACATATCTAATAAGAGGAATATAATTTAAAAAAAAAAAAGAATAAATAAGCCAATGAATCGTGTGTCGAATCCATACTTAATTGACTACTATTTAATGGGAGAATGCACTATAGCTTTTGTTTGGGTTGAACGAAAAAAAAATATAACAGAAGTGAACTTTAGATAAGAAGGTTATTATTTTGGGTCTAAGAGGAGAGAAAACATGCAAGACTCAAGTACTACTTAAATATTTTATCCAATTTCATAAACCTCAAAAAGAAGTAATTATCTAAATTGCATGTGTTATAGCATAAGCTTATATGAAAAGATTTTTTAAATTAGACAATTATATGTTATTTTTTGTAATCAAGTAATTAAATTTGTTAAATTACACTATAATATGATAAATTAAGAGAATCATAATTATTGTTTCATTGATTGAAAAAAATTGACACTTAGCTCAATTGATTCACATAATCATTTTTAAAAAGTTATATTTAATAATTTTAAATATTAAATTTTAATATCTATAATTCTTTTTTTCAAACATCATGACCTTTTTTATATTAAAAATAAAAAAATAAATTAAAGCGGAAATACAGTACGAGAATCAAATTGCTAAGGTAAGAAGAAATATATTCCTCTTGCCAAAAAGAAAAAGGAAATTGTTCTTATCTAAAGCCAATGCCATATTGAAGAATCACTTAGGCTTACCATGCTGCGGGTGTGAACTGTGACGTAATATAGGAGTCGTATGTGTATTTACATATAAATATATATTATATATGTGAAAAATAGAATTAATCAAATAATGGTTAATAATTTTTACCTAACGAACCAAGATGGTGCCAAAAAAAAAAAAAGTTTGCTATATAAAGGGTATGTTAGTCATATTAACAGCTTTTTTTTTCCACAAAATTAATCTAAATTAAATAGTAAGGATTAATTTTATTAAAGCGACAATTTGTCTAAATACAATATGAGAACAAATCAAATGAAACAGTTCATCCTTTTCATTGAAAAATGTGCATGTAAAAAAATATTAACAAATATTTATCATTTAATAATCATATATAATTAATTGGTAATTAATTATTTTTTTAAAAAAAATAATTGCATTTTTGCACTTAACATGAATTAATTGTTTTAGACAATTTTTTAAATATAATTAAAGATTTTCTTGAGGTTATATTTATAATCAAGTATTAGATTCTTACAATCAATTATTAATTATTGAATAATCAACTGATAGTTTATAACTTAACAAAATAATTAAACCCATGTACCGGAGGATTTAAACCTAAAACCTCAAGATTTTAGAGCTTCCTAGTTGCCATTAAATTAAAGTCTCATCAGTACAGTATAATTAACATTAAATCCAAACTCAACCAAACTAAAATTAAAAAAAAAAAAAGCCCTTATATGTTGCTTTTGATAAGGATCAAGATAATTCCAAATTAAAATCTTAGATAAGGTTATCATTATAATTAGCTTGAATTTATTTCAAATTACAGATTAGTTTATCTTGTAGAAATCCAAATATATACATCTCCTATATAAATAATTATAAAGTTCTATCCTGACGTTGAAGTCAAGTGAGTGAGATTATTCTCATGATTTATTCTTCGTTTATTTTCTGTTTTATATTCTCTTGTATTCAGCTTTAGGTTTAGCAACTACGCATAAACTAAAGAATCGGCACCTTGTCCAGTCTAGCTATATGGATGGTCTAACATAATCTGCACATGGCGTTTGAATTCTTGCAGATGCTAATTTTGGCATCCATTCACAGTCATCGAAACTTTGTAAGTGTCAATTTCTTATCAGGTGCATTGGCCGGTTGTTCTTGGCAATTTTATTCTGTAATAAGAAAATGATAGCCACTACAGATTCATGTTCTTTCTCAAAAGAATACATAATGTCTCTTTTTCACATAAATGTGGCTCAGGATTCATATTGTTCAAGTAGGCAGTAGTTCAAAATCCTCTAAACTCATCAAAATTCAAAACATTTAATATCATCCAATTCTAATCAAAATTTACACTCGCAAATTTAATGATTTTTCGCTTACACAACAAAAGTATTTTAAAAGGATTTTTGTTTTGAGTATCCTAATTAAGGGCACTCTTTAAATCTAATTAAAATACTATTTAAAATAATATTCTTGTTTTTGTATTAAATGTGAGAGTTGACAGTTAAAATTATTATGCATTTCAAGACATTGAAAAAAAAAATACTTATTAATAACTTTATAGAGTGTTCGTTAGGCACTTGTTAACAAAATTCATTTAAAAAAAAAGATCTATTGAGTAAAAGTTTTTGATAGGTTTTGAGTCAATTTCTCTCATGATTTTGAGCCAAACCAAACCAAAACAAGAGAAAAGGGCTTTAATCTTGCTGGTCAATTAATGCGTTAAATGACAACAATTTATTTATTGATACATATATTAATATATTGATACAAGATAAAGAGAGTAATAAATTACAAACCTTGGACCATTATCAAGTATCAACATCACACCGCACCCTATTTGACATTGCAAAGCCTAAAATGAAGCATTTCTAGAAGTTGCGTAACAAAAATATAGCCGCAAATCGAGCACATTCCTTCACTTTCTTGAACCCTTCATCATTCAATGTTCTCTTTGACGCGTCTGCGATACAACTTTTAAAATACTAAAAACGACAGCAGTACCAGCCAAGCCGAATCCTATGGCCTGATTGCTCGTGCCCTTACCCATTTTGCAGTAGTTTGCAAAGCTCTCGCAGTTGTTAAAAAGCAAGTTGTAATCACCGAAAGATTTGCTGTTGAGGTAATAAAATGCTGTCTGAATAACCTGATCAGGAGGATACGAAGCACAACAACTGCAAGTGCCCTTCTTTGAAAAAATATATTCCAAGTAGGAGACATCGTATTCGTAGACATAGAGTGAGCTACCTTCAAAGCAATCGATGCAGGTTATGACAATTCCCGTATTATGATGCGTGTAAAAACATCTCTTGCATTGTGATTTAGGTGCACTGCTGCTTTTCTTGTTAAATCCGTAGAAATGAATGACTGCATCGTCTATTTCTTTTTCTTCTCCAGTATTGTACGGGTTAGTGACCGTGGCTTTGCCCACATATATGCCTGGAGTCAAATTAAGCAAGGAAAATTGAGAAAGCAATAAAGATCTGTTTCATTCATGGAAAATGTTAGGGAAAAGAAAATATCAAGGAAATTTTAAATGAAAGAAAAAAAATAAAATTTCTTACTTTCTTTGAATTATGAGGAAAGTACAAAAGAAAATATGGAGAAAATTTCTTTGCATGCATATGTTTGTCAATGAACGAGAAAAAGATTTAAATCCCAAATAATCAAATTATTTTAAAAAATTATTGTTAGAAAATTTTCCTTATAATCTTTTTGGTATGCAATATATGAAAGAGTTACAAATACTTACTATATATCACATTTAAAAATAATTATATTAATTAACTGAATTAAATTTTGATTTAATTTTTTTTTATAATTGTTTTATCCCTCCTATCAAAGAAAAAGATTGTATAGATATTGAACACCTCCTTGAAGTTGACTTTTCTCCGAAGCATAATGTCCAAAAATAATCGGAAAGAAAGCCAAGGATGGTTCAGAAAGAAAAAGCCCAAAATGCTACACATTCGAAAACAAATACGTTTTTCAACCTCCCACAATTACATCATCTGCAGCTGAAAATTAAATTTTCTGCAGCAGTTCACGTATTCGGCAACCAGAGCCGCCATTCCTCCCTCTTTCCACGCCGAGTAGCCTGCAATCAAAGCGGCAAAGCCATGTCTTCCTTTCAAGGTGGAGTGGTTGTTTCACGGTCGTGAAAGCAAAGAAGAGACAAGCTGACCTCGAAAAATTTTCCTCTTTTTTCTTCCAGTTTCCTCGCATTTTTTCAGGGATATTAAAACATTATTTTACCCCGTTTTTTCCTTTTTAAACTTTTCCTCTGTCTTTTCTTCTAAACCAAACATGAAGATATAAAATTCCTGGATTTTGGTTTCCTTTCCCTTCTATTTTCCCTGGTACCAAACATGGCCTTAGGGAAAACATGAAGAAATGGAAAGGGTAGAAGAATTAAATTTATAGTTTCCCTAAACTAAGTCTGGTTGATCAAATGCTATATATTAAAAGAAATAGGCATGTAATTAATACATTATTTTTTCTTGAATTTGATAAAAATAATACATTAAATGCAAATTTCCGTTGACAAAAATAAAAAATATATATATAGATATATACCGTGGTGATAGTATAGGCCTCCACTACAATGAGTAAAGATATGATCACCTCGTCCGAGGGAGTAATTGCTAACAGTTTTCATCTTCCTTCTTCAGTTCTTCTATCTCCTCTTTAATTATCTCGGCTTTCGTAATAAACGCTGCAAATATATATATATAAATATATATATATATAAAGGTTATTGCAATCATACAATTAAAACAGACAATCTACAGCTTAAAATTGGAGAATAAGATAAGGTAAAAACAAACTGCTTAATATCAATAATCCTATTTTCGAATATTAATCAGTGGTAGTGGAATGCATTATTACTGTATTTGGATCGGAAACAATTGTAGTGGAAAGAATTTTTTTTTTTTTTTTTTAAGATCAAATTCGGACTCTGCAGTCGGATTTTTTTTTTCGAGAATTCATAGAGATCTCAAGAATAGAATGTGTTGGGCTTGTTTTCCTTTACATGGAGGTGACCTAAATCAAAGGCCATTCACCGAGGACTTTTTAACCCTTTCATACTTGGTTATAAGGTTTTAAGTCTTTATATGACCGAAAAAGAAATAAGACTGATGTGGCGGTAATAAAAAAGAAGGGAGAAAAAAGAGGTTTTCAATTTTTTTT